CTAGAAATCTATGAATCTATGAATCTCTCCTCTGAGGAAAACCTGGGAGAGCTGGGACTGTTCAGCCTGGAGAAGAGAAGACTCAGAGCGGAATCTTGTTAATGTATATAAATACCTGAAGGGAGGGCGCAAAGAAGATGGAGCCAGGTTCTTTTCAGTGGTGCCAAGTGGCAGAACAAGATGCAATGAGTACAAACTGAAACACAGGAGGTTCCCTCTGAACATCAGGAAACACTTTTTTACTGTGAGCGTGACTGAGTACTGGCACAGGTTGCCCAGGGAGGTTGCGGAGTCTCCATCCTTGTAGGTATTAAAAACCCAACTGGAGACAGTCCTAGGTAACTGGCTCTAGGTGGTTCTGCGTGAACAGGGGGATTGGACTAGATGACCTAGTGGTCGAGTCCCCATCCCTGGATGTGTTTAAGAATAGCGTGGATGATCTACTTAGGGATATGGTTTAATGGGGATTAGGGACGGTTGGACTGGATGATCTCTAAGGTCTTTTCCAACCTAGAAATCTATGAATCTATGAATCTATGACCTCCAGTGGTCCCTTCCAACCTCCATCATTCTGTGATTCTGTTAGTTCGTGAGTCTGTGAGTCTGTGATCATTTTCTGAGGCTCTGCTAATGTAAAGGACAAAAGCAGATGCAAAGAAAGAACAGAGTTGAAGTAAACCAGCTACAAGTGCGTTTACTCTCCTGTGGGAATAACACAGATTAAATGAATTTGGGGATGTAGTTGGCTGTGAAGCAGGAACATATGAAGCAGGACCTATTGACTAATTGTGATAATAATAGAAATACAAACGTCTTGCTAATTACACAGTTGAAGTATTGGACTTTTCTTGGGTCTCTGCATGTCTTAGTTGGCTGCTGGCACCTGGGGCAAGATCTTTAAAGAAGTCAAGCACTGAGATGTTGCATCTTGCAAAGTCTGTCTGCTGGCATCCAGCCACTGCACAGAATAGTCAGCCCTGTCTTAGGCAACCCAATTACCCTCACAGTAATAAAGCAGAAGCAGGTGGTTCCAAGCAGCTCCTCCTCGCTATTTTCATGAATTGTGATGTGCCCGCACTTTCAGCCTGTATTTACTGCATATTCCAGGGTGCAGATCCAAAGATTAAATAAAATTACCCTTAAACTCTCTTGGGGACTACTTAAGACCTATCTACAAAAAAAAAACCTCCAACAACCTACCAAACCTCCAATAACAAAGCAAGAGCAGAAGGACCATCTTTGCGCCCCAAACATTCAGCAGCTTGGTGTCGATAAGACTTCTCTGCATCATGGGGTCTTCTCTGTGTGTGGCTCTGTCTTGCTTGACTTGTTACGAGGGGTCTGAACCAAATCTGAAGCTGTGCTTTGACCACCGGACTACTGTATTTCTCATTCCTGTTGGCACAAATACCTTTTTCTGTTCCATTCCTGTTCTTAGTATGAGTATTTTGGAAAGACACTCTACTCTGACGTACTTGGAGAGGCACAGACAGAATCCGATGGTCCACACTAAGGCCAGCTTCATGTTTTTCCTCCTTGCAGTGCAAACCTTGCAATGTTACACTTGCCAAGAACCTACTGCTGTCGATAAGTGCCTGACGATCCGCAACTGCTCAACGAATGAATCCATATGCAAGACTACTATGTATTCCCGGGAGGATGGTAAGGGCAATTACCTCTTTATCCATATATTTAACATGAACCAGTGTTTCTACAGTGAAGAGTGCTGGTGTAGGGAGCAGTATCTTTTCTCTCTTCAATGTGTAAGCCTGGAAGAGAGCTCCTGCAGAGCAGTGAGCAGTTGCAGAAAGCAGTCTTCATGTGAGTGCAAACTTCATGAATACAAGCTCGTAGTCAATGCTGAGCATTGAGCATGGTTAGAAAAAACACATTGACCTGAGCTTGAGACATGGAGCTAAAGAGTTCTGGATCTCCAGACCATTTGCATGACTTGCATAATGGGTGTGTGTTAAACAATGCTCTGCTGCACCCACTCTGGGTGGAGTAGAGAGGGCAGTAGAGATAAGCCAAGCTCAGCAAGGTGGGAATAACTTCTGGTCATGTGGAGGCAAAAATAGAAGAAACTTTGAGTTCTCTGAAGCTCTCAGGAAGGCATCGTCAGTCTGATTGGTGACTCTAGGGGTCATAAGGTGTCCAAATAAAGAAATGCACTGCAAAGATAGCAGCGCTCTCTTTTGCATGGTGCTGCTGATAAGGCTTCGGGCGCATATAGGAGAGGCAGGAGATAGTGACTAGAGTCAAAGCAGAGGCAGAAAAGGTGCTTAATTGGCCTTCTGCAGGGTAAAGCTGATACAGACAGGACACAGAGGATACAGAGGAGGGCTACAAAGATGATGTGAAGGCTGGAGTATTTCTTCTATGAAGACAGACTGAGAGAGTTGGGGTTGTTCAGCCTGGAGAAGAGAAGGCTCCGGGGAGATCTTATTGCAGCCTTCCAGTACCTAAAGGGGCTACAAGAAAGCTGGAGAGGGACTTTTTACAAGGACGTGTAGCGATAGGACAAGGGCCAATGGCTTTTAACTGAAAGAGGGGAGATTTAGATTAGATCTAAGGAAGAAATTCTTCACTCTGAGAGTTGTGAAACACTGCAAGAGGTTGCCCAGAGGAGTTGTGGATGCCCCATTCCTGGAAGTGTTCAAGGCCAGATTGGATGGGGTTTTGAGCAACCTGATTGAGGGGAAGGTGTGCCTACCTGTGGCAGGGGGGTTGGAACTAGACGATCTTTAAGGGCCCTTCCAATCCAAGCCATTCTATGA